AGAAATCTATATATGTTACATGCAACCCTTATGCCTTAAGTTTTTGATAACATTAAGACAAAATATTGGAGATTACATATCAGGTTATTACCATAATGTTCTTTATGATTGGTGTTGCTTAATTGCTGAGACAATTTGATTTATTGCCTGGAATTTTCGCCTTTCCTTGAGAAGCATCTTTGCAAATTCAAGAGCCCGTCGCTCGCAATCTGCTCTTTTGCTAGCGTCTTTGATTGACTCAAAATCTTCAACATGAGCCACACCAATAATTCTCCTGGCAATCAGAAGGTAAAAACATCAATATCACAAATTCCAGTGTTAGCATGAGATGTATATCAGAAATAACAATAATAACTGTCATTTTCAAACATTCGGGTATGGATCGAATCTTTTGCAAAAGAGGGAAATAAACTTTAAAGACTCAAATAAGTGGAATAGAACCAGCTCTTGCATCCCAATGGTTCATGTTCCAAGCTTCAAAGCTTGGGGACTTTCAATGTTGAGTTCAACTCAAGCCAGCAACCCATTATGGATATGGAGGGCTTCTGCTACTGTAATAACTTACCCCACACTACAAAAACTCCCCCATGTAAAAAGAAAGAAAAAAGTTGGAATAGCCCATCACTAATGATAAAGGGTAAAAGGCATTAAATTCATTTTCTATGCTCAGAGTTATGGCCTTCTGAATATACCCTTCTCAGAGATGTAATGAGTAAATTCACAGCAATATTGAGAATGTACTATTAACTGAATTTTGAATATGCTGGTAAATGTCAAACATCTATTACTGCAAATTTGGCAGCTAAAATCACAACTCTTAATTGTAATAACTGTGTCTCACCTTATCATTTTGGCAGCACCAAATCCAAGCGTGTCATGGAACAAGTCTTCCATAAATTTCACTTGTATAAGCTTTTGAAGCTCAGGGTTGTTATAAATTGCTGGAAGATAAGCCTCACCAGGTCCATCCTTGTGTTCATCCCACAGCCCAATGAACTTTTTGTAGAAAAGATTCCAAGTTTCTTCAATTGTATTCAATATCCATTCCTTGTATGCCTAAATGGCAAGGTGCAAAATAAGAAATGCAAGTTAAAAATTAGAAAGGTCTATAATATATATGGAAGAAGCAGTTATAACATTAAACAGCATGGAAGAAACTGGTACTGGGGGAATTACTTTTCGGTCATTCCCTTGATTAGCATGTCCATCTTGTGCAAAGAAAGCCAGAATCAAATTCCCAATAAAAGCACCAACATCAAATCCCATTGGCCCATAAAATGCGAACTCTGGATCAATAACTTGAGTTGAATTGGGTGTGACCATAACTGACGCAGTATGGAGATCACCATGAATAAGGGCTTGAGATCTTTCACAGAACCTACAAGAAAGGCCAATTTTAGTATGGTAGGGAAACCTAGTAATGGAGTTTTTGAACTGAGAAGGCATAGTTGTGTGGAGAAATTAAGCATACTTAGATTTCAGCTCAGCCACTTCAACCTTTAACATATTGTCCTCCCTGATTGCCTCAGCATCATGATCTAGATAAGGAGAAGTCCAATGATTGTATTGTGATATTTTGTATGGGTCAGAAAAAACAACACGTGCAGTATGCCTGCATAACTCCACATTCCCACAAAATTCAGCAACTGCATAAAATTGAATGCAGGGAAATTAGCATCAATGCATTTCTATCATATGGATATACATGTAAATGGATATTACCAGAACGTTTGTGCTCTGTGGTTGAAAGATATAAAAGAGATGTGAAGAAAAGAGTCTTGGACATGTATTCTGACATGTGTTCAGCAAGCAATGGATACTCAATTCCAGCAACCAACCCTTTTCTTAGAATTATATGTGGTGGCTCTAAGTATCGCATGCCAATCACAGACATGGTACGATCAAAATGATAAACTTCAGGAACATGTTCAGGGCACAATTGACCATGCTCTTTGAGTGCTAATGCCTCAAAGTATGCCCTTTCCTT